CCTCTTCTAAACCAATGAAGGTCACGTGAAAAAGGATCCAAAGACTCGTCACTTCTGTTTGACTGATCCGATGTCCGGCCTGCAGGGCGCAGTGTTTCCCAACGTCACACCTCACACGTATGTTCTTCAGCCCAGCATGTCTGAGGATATTTCCCCGGGGTTCCGTGTGTGTGTGTACAAAAGCTTCTCAAACCTGGGTTCCTCCAGCAGACTGTAATATTGTTGAGCAGATTTTACGGTCTTTTCCTGTAAAAGTCTCCTTTGGGACTGACTGAAAAATCCTCCTCGACAGACAAATGAGTAGTTTTTGCAGAAACTAATAAAAGTGTGAGCTCCTCTTTCCTCGGGTCTCATCTGATGTTTCTGCACAACGGACCTTTTGCATCATCACGTCCTCGACATTATGTTGCGTCAAAAAGTGTCATCCAGCTGTCGCTTCAGGCGCATCTCACTTTTGGGAATGTGTGAGCTCCACGTGATGCGCGTTTCCAGTCGTTTTTTTATTGCTGGACTGTAAAAGGTCCCAATGAATCCTGTGTCTCTGAGATGAGAAACAGGTTTCATGTAGCTCTGCCACGCAAACCGCCGTCTCCTTGTTGGAGAGTCCTGCTTCCACGACTGCGCTCTCCCCGTCTGCGCCCACCAGCTGGCGTTTTAAATGACTTACAAGAGACACGAAACAACTGCATTCAACTCAAAATGACGTAAAAAGCACAACATTACTACAATGGGACTGAAATAACTACAAGAGGACACTAAGTGACTTCAAAGAGACAAATAGATGCAAGATAGATGCTTATCAATGTAGCGCGATGGTCGGAGCGGCGGCCATTTAGATGTTAATCATTGGCATGGCGTCCGTTTTAGCGGGATAACTTTGGTATGAACCAAACCTACTGAGTTCTTTATTCTAGAGACCATCGGCCCGTGTTTACAATGTTTACTGAAGGAATAAATCACCAGAGAAGTAGAGTCATTGCCTCATAGACGTCTATGGGAGCAGAGGAGTCGCCCCCTGCTGGTCACTACAGAGAAGTAGAGTCATTGCCTCATAGACGTCTATGGGAGCAGAGGAGTCGCCCCCTGCTGGTCACTACAGAGAAGTAGAGTCATTTCCTCATAGACGTCTATGGGAGCAGAGGAGTCGCCCCCTGCTGGTCACTACAGAGAAGTAGAGTCATTTCCTCATAGACGTCTATGGGAGCAGAGGAGTCGCCCCCTGCTGGTCACTACAGAGAAGTAGAGTCATTTCCTCATAGACGTCTATGGGAGCAGAGGAGTCGCCCCCTGCTGGTCACTACAGAGAAGTAGAGTCATTTTCTCATAGACGTCTATGGGAGCAGAGGAGTCGCCCCCTGCTGGTCACTGCAGAGAAGTAGAGTCATTTCCTCATAGACGTCTATGGGAGCAGAGGAGTCGCCCCCTGCTGGTCACTACAGAGAAGTAGAGTCTCCTCAACTCCTGGATCAGCTTTTCACGTGGTTAAAAAAACACCAAACAAAGTCTAAGGTCGCGTTTTGAGCGTCAGGCTCCGCCCACCTGGCAACAAAAACACCTGTACGGAAAACAAACTACAGACTGGAGGAAAAAGAACACGCAGCCAAGATCCCCGAAAACCTTCAGACCTGACAACGTACACGCACACCTGATGGCGTCACGGATGATGTCACGGATGGCGTCACGGATGATGTCACGGATGGCGTCACGGATGATGTCACGGATGTCCTCAGAGTGGATCCTCGTCTTCTCGGCCGTGTTTACAGTCGACATTCCACTCCTGGAGCTGCAGCGCTCTAGAGTTTCACTCAGGAAGGGCCGGTGTGTGTGTGCGCGTGTGTGTGTGTGTGCGCGTGTGTGTGTGTGCGCGTGTGTGTGTGTGTGCGTGTGTGCGTGTGCGTGTGTGTGTGTGTGTGAGATCCTCAATATAAACCTTTCTGCTCTTTGTTTACGTCTCCCCGGCATGCGGCTCCCTCGCCGGCTAATAGGATGAGGTTCGGGGCTCTTATTGGATAACGAGAGGAAGTCGGACGCTCTCCGCTCGCGTCGTCTTTCATCTGCTTCCAATTGTGGCTTTTAGCCTCTTTCTGGTTTTTTTTTTGCCTCCTCTATCAGGAGCCAGAAGGAGCTTTTGAAGAACGAAGAGAGGGGCTGCCGACTAAATTTAGAAATCGCTGAATGGCTCAGATCACCAGAATGTTTGTTTGTGTCTCTGCAACACAACGGATCTGCGCTCACACGGCAGAGGAAACAGAAGCGATGCACGGCTTTTGCTCCGAATCGATGCCTCTGTTTGGAATCAGAGACATGCAAGTTTCCAGACTCTCTTTTTATTGCTGCACCAATAAAATGTTCCAATAAACGTGGCTGAGTGAGAAGCATCTGCCACACAAGGGATCCTCTCCCCGTTCACCAGATGATCTGTGGAAGTCGGACCTCCTCCCTGCATGTGCATGTGAGAGGTCAGAGGTCAGCACATAAGAGCTGCCGTATGTCTGTAAGGATGTACAGTGGATCACGCTGAAATGTGAGCATTAGAACTAGAATAGAGGCAACAGGAACCACAAGCAGGTTTTATGACTCCACCACGTACACGAATCAAGCAAACCCGCCTTATCTCTCCCGGAGCGGACCGAGGCCGATGTGGGGGGGGGGGGAGGCCTCCGAGCACTGGATGTCCTCGAACACGCCGTCCTTCCCCCCCCCTTCATTCCTTCCCTTGACCTCTGACCTCCTGTCCCTCCTCCCACACTGTATCCTGCAGGGCGGCGCTGCCTTCACTGTCGCCCGCCCTGCAGATTTGGATTATCGGTCGGAAAAAGACGATGGCAACATCTGAAGTGAGGTTAAAGTTCGTAGGTAGCCCCCCCCCCTCCCCCCGCCGACAATAAATTGGATGTGTACAGAGTGGATGTTTGCCTGCAGGCTCTCAGCTCTGCTCAGTTAATGATGAACTCGCCGTGTGACAGAGGGGGCGACTCTGACTGATGCAGACTGCTCCTTCCATCTCCTCCTCTTCCTCCTCCTCCTCCTCTTCCTCCTCCTCTTCCTCCTCCTCCTCCCTCCTCCTCCTCAGCTTTCAGACTCACCTGCATCTCACGTTCTCTCATCAATCACAGAGCGTCTTTCATAAAACCATTCAGTTATCGGACAGAAATAAAAAGGATTTTACTTGCAAGCTCCGGGTGGAGAACCAGGTCGATGAAAAGACTCAATGTCCTAGAGGCAAACATGTGAGAGCCACAACGTGCACGTTTCTCACCGATAACGAACCGTTGATTGTTGCGGACTACGTCCCCAGCTTAAGGAGAGACACCGCGGGCAAAAACGTTGTTTTTCCCGCACTGATTTTTCAGACTAGTGAAAAGAAAACTATATTTACTACATATTTTCCTTCATGTTGACAACTGAGTGAATTTTCACAATCCTGTTCTGGAAATATATGAAGTTTTTTAATCTATCGTATTTGCACACCATACCTGCATCACAGAAATCATCCATGTCGGTTAAGCCCCCCCGCGGGGGATTCAGGGGGGAAATATGTCGGTCGGATTCTGGATCCGCTTGGCTCGCTGCAGCAGATGTGATGAGTGTGGAACAGGGCGTCAGCTCAACAAGAGCCAAAGGTCAACGGAGAAAAAGAGCGTTTTGTGTGAGATTTTCTTCAGTGAATCTCTTAAAATGACTTTTTTTCTTCCTCTGGTCTCTGCAGAGAAGCTGCAGAGGGATTAAACATCGCAGCAGCGCCTTCAAACCTCCTCCCTCCATCTGCACTAAACGCTCCCTGGTGTGGATTCGTTTTCAGGATTCTGGCATGTAGCTGGGTCAGTGTGTGTGTGTGTGTGTGTGTGTGTGTGTGAGTGGGTCATTGTGCGTATGCATGTCCCCAGAGTGGATTCGTTTTCACAGCTTGGTGGTGTGGCTAATAGCACATTTAATTTGGCATCTCTTCTAATCCCAAGGAGGTTAAAGTCACAGCGGCACTAATCATGAAGCCCAGACATCATTAAGCCCAACACACACACACACACACACGCACACACACACACACACACACATGCACACGCACACCTGTGTGTAGGTTACACGTGCAAACACATCGGCGGTCTCTAAAACCATTATGAATAAAAAGCTAAAAGCTGTGTATTCATTTAACTGTGGTGCACGCGTTGTTTTTCTCTTGTCCCTGAAGGCATCGCGCCGTGCTGGCCGCTGGGTGGCCGCTGGGTGGCGCTGTCGCTCCAAACACTTCTCTCTCCTGATGAACAGCTGACGTCGGGCCCGCGAGTTCATGCAAAAATATGTTCTTCAAAGTGAATCTAAATGAATCAGTCTGCGACTTGATGGGCGCGTGACCGCTGACTGACATCCGGGTCCCGCGGGACAAAACGCAGCTGCACGTGAGACGAACCCGCAGGAAGCGCAGCATCCCGCGTCTGGGTCAGCAAGGACCCCCCACCGGGCCATAAAGGGGGGGGGGGGGGCAGTTCCGAACCAGTCAATGGCTGCTGTTATCTTACGTAAATATTTGCTCCCCAGAGCAGAGACAGCAGCCCCCTTTCACCGGGGGGGGGGGGGGGGGCATCGGGAAGGCGTCGTGCACGCGCAGCTATCAGGGCCCTCGATAAAACTTGCTTTTGGCCCCGAGGGTCACGTGGCTCCGACTAAACGTAACAAATGACAGGGAGCTTCAGAGTGAATCCAAATAGCAAGAAGAGGGGGGGGGGATAGTGGGGGGGGGGGTATATGAGAGGGGGGGTATATGAGGGGGGGGGGGGGGTCCTAACGGGACGCAATGTGACGCAAAGTGAACTCTCTGAGGGTCCTGCTCCGGTCCGGACAGTCAGACCAGAGCCGAGTGTGTTAAGTGGGCCGGAGTCCTCCTAAGAGGGGGGGAGTGGGGGGGTTTGGGGAGGGGGGGGGGTGTTCGCACCAGTTCTCACCGCCAATCCAGAAGGAGGTTTCAATAGCAGCGGCGCGGCGGGGGAGGAGGGACGCACTGCCAGCACGCAGGATACCCGCTCACACACACACACACACACACACACACACATGCACACGCACACGCGCGCGCACTGCTGCCCGCTGGAGACCAGTTAAATCCGCAAGAAAACTGCAGACGCGCACCAGAGCGCTCGCGTAACCCGGCCGATAGGAAGCACCGCGCGGGACTAGCGGACACCGGGCGGGACCGTTTATGTTCCCGTTCCTCGTTTAGTTCGTGAAGCACTTTTTCCTTTTTCATTTGTCTGTAATCATCGCGGTGACACCGGAGAGAAGAACACAACACGAGAGGTAAGAAACCAGCGGCGGCTTTTATTATTTTCCACCGCGGGACTTTGCGTCAAATCAGAAAGAAAAAAAAGTTTTTTCTTCAACTTTATTCTTTTTTTTTCTGTGCATGCAAAGCTCGGGGGTCCGGACCCGGGGGGGGGGGGGGTCGTGCGGTCCAGTTAAAAATTGTTCAACACATTTCTTTTTTTTTTTAGACATTTTTAATGCACTTTTTTTAATCTCACTTAAATCTGTCAAAAGGCTTTTGTGCCTCGCGATGGTTCCCGTGCTGCCCGCGCGCACCGTCCTCTCAAACAACAAACAAACACAAACAAACAAACTAACACAACGCGCACCTGTAAAACGTGCACGCGATCTCTTCTGCTTTAACGTACATCTGTACATTTCAGTCCCGCTCCTCCTCGCGTGAGCCGGTCCCTTTGGGGGGGGGGGGGGGGGCATTCCAATACCTCCGCCTCCTCATGAAGGATGGATGAGAAAACTAAACCCTCATCTGCACATGAAAACACTGCGGCGATGAAGTAGAATTAAATAAATACATACAGTCTAAAGACGCTTTAAAATCATTCATCGCATCCACAACCTGCCCCCCCCCCCCCCCCCCCTCGGACCGACACAAGCAAGGAGACAAGGAGACCAGGAGACGGGCGGCTTCTCCGCCTGAGCATGAGCGCGACTTAACGGGGTCTTGATTGACTCGCTTCCCCCTCTGCGCCCCGGATGAAGGGGGGGGGGGGGGGGGGGGGGCTTTCCCATGGGGGCATTCTCTCTTGTAATCTTTAATCACCCGTTGCAGCTACAATGCCCGCTCATCAGTCACCCCCCCCCCCCCCCACACACACACACACACCCAATTCCATCTGAATGGGTGACCCTCCTCACAGAGACATTCCAGGATGCAGCTCCTGAGATGGACTATAGAGAAGCAGAAGGGAGTTTGGGGGTGGGGGGGGAGTTTGGGGGGGGGGAGTGGTTCTGGTGCTCTCATGGTTACGATAAGAGCTCAGAATCTGACAAATGTTGAATCGGCGCCTTCACTCCCTCCCTGCCGGCTCACTGACGGCTCTGGTTCGGCCCGGCTGTGGAACTGGTCCGGTTCCTGTGCCCCCCCCCCCCCCCCCCCCCCCCTATTAGCAGCCGTGTGATGGAGCGCGCTGCAGCAACGAGGGGTCCCGGCATTAAATCTGCCCAAAGGCCGAGGGGCATCGCGTTCCAAACGTCTCTTTATTTATTTGTGTTGAAATGAAGCTGTCTTCTAGACCCCCCCCCCACCCACCCCGCCCCCCCCCCGTCCGGTTAATGAGCTCCATGTGGCGGCGGGCTTGTTGGGGGGTAAACGAAGTGAGAGGTCAAAGGCAGTTTGCATGCACGCGTTTAAACGTGGATCCACTGATGATCAGTAAAGTGACCTTTGATCACCATTATTATTATTATTATTATTATTATTATAGAGAACATTGCGTCCATTTGGGAAATTAAAGAACCCGAAGAATCTCATTTTCTGTTGTGGCTCCCTGCGCTGATCTGCTTGTCGTGACGCCGGATTAAAGCGGGGTCGAAGCTGGGGGCCCGTCGGCCATGTTCCATGAAACGTCTTCTTCCCGGTAGGAGGTGGAGACGCGTCGCTCTTCGCCCCCGCTGCTGGATCCGTCCCGTCGGCCTGATCACACGCAGGTTCACGCTCACGCGGCGCCGCAGCGTGCAGCGCGCAGCGCTCGGCGAAACAACGCAAACTATAAATTATAAACTATAAATGTGACAATAAAACACCAGAGGAAGCCGAACAAAGTCGACTCCTCTCACACACTCTGGTAATTTAAACATTCGCCTTCACGCGTTCCAGATGCAGATGCATGACTTGTTATTTTAGGTGAGGGGGGGGGGCGACCGGCACACACACACACACACACACACACACACACACACACACACACACACACACACACACACACACACACACACACACACACACACACACACATCCCCCGTGCCGCGCGTGCTAACGGCCGCGTTAATAAACCTCTCGCTGTGTGAGTGATCGCAGGCTTCACGCGGGATGACATCAGCGTGGTGTCCAGTGGGGGGTCGGGGGGGTCCGTGGGGGTCGTAGGGGGGGTCGTGGGGGGGGGGGGGGGGGGGTGAAAGAGGAACCACCTCAGCGCTGCTTCCAGTATTAATAGACTCGTCTTTTGTTCCCAGTGTCGCTGCTGACGGGGGAGACGAGTCGAGTCGACACGGACCTCAAAGTGCCACTTAGGAAGCTTTTCCTTTTCTCTTTTGTCGACCTGACTAAGGGCCGTAAAAAATAGATGAGAGGGGGGGGGGGGGGGGGGGGTATAGAGGGGGGGGCCATGAATCCATGAATATGAGATATGAGTCTACAGTCACTTACGACCCCTCGCTGTCATAGTGGAAGTCGGTCGATGGCTTCTCTCGGTTGTATCTCTGAGTTGCGTTTTGATTGTTGACTCTGACCGCAAGAACATTACACGCCTCCGTTCACGCGTCAAGCTCGCTCTGCTGTTCAGCTGATTGCCGCCGCCTGTTGCAGGTTTAAACGTTTAGCTCTTTCGGGCACGTTGCCTTTCTTGGCACCGTTAGACTCACGCGTCGCGTTAAATCAAAGCGCGCCGTGCGGCGAAATGTTGTTTTGTTTTTTTGGAGCCATTGTTTTAAAGCGGGCCTCTCGCCACCGGGCACATTTTGGACGACGGACACAGAAGTAGCGAGAACGCGGCGCCAGAGTTTGTATTTGCTTCATAACCAACATGAGCAGCTACTTTTCATTCACAGACGGAGGCGGCGGCTGGACGTTCGGTGCTCTCCGGCGTGCGGCTCTTATAAAGAGCTACGACGCGTTAACGGAAGGCCTGTTTGTGGTCCGTCCCGGCCCGAGGCCCCTGGTTTCACTCATCCGCCTCGGCGTGGGGAGGGAAGAAAAAACAAAGATAAAAGGGCCGTACGGTGTGTGTGTGTGCGTGTGTGTGTGTGTGTGTGTGTGTGTGTGTGTGTGTGTGTGTGTGTGTGTGTGTGTGTGTGTGTGCGCGCGCAAGTGTGAAAAGAGATTATTTGGTGATGAAAAAGCTGTGATCAAGGAGGAGAGACGGACGAGGGAGGGCGAGCAGAGGAAAAGGGGGGAGGGAGGGAGGGAGACGGGGGTCATTAAGAGGACACCATCTCGCTTGCAGTAAACGGCGGTAAAGTGTCCGGCTAATCTGCCGTCATTACGCTGATTAAATCGGCAGGGATTTGGCGTTTCCCATCAGCTGCCATCGACGGGGACGAATCAATGGACGCGAGGCTCCATCCGCATCTCACGTTGAGTCAAACCACACGGACTTGAGGATTTTTGTGAAATTCCAGCGATGTTTTCACACGTCTGTTGTCAAATGTAACACCCCCCCCCCCCCCCTCGCCCCCCCCCCCCCCACGCCCTCCCACGCCATTCCTCTCTGCGGCAGGCAGCACTCTCCCTTTACTTCAGCTCACTCCACCTTGCGTTGACGTTGGAACTGAAAGTAGCGACAACATATCTGAACATGAAGCGTGCGGTTGGAAACCGATTAAAGCGGAACCCTTTTGAAGAGTGTTTCCGAATAGAACGCGAGCGCGGAAAGGAAAAAGCCATTGAGGATTTCCATCGGCCACCGTTCTCGTGTCTGTATGATAAATATTCGCTTATCTGTGCTATAGCATTATGAGCGGAAACACGCTAACAGCTGCTTTAGCTCAGCGCAAAGACAACAACATCAGGCCATAAGTATGAATGTTTGTGTGCGTCTTCACCGGGATCAAGGGATTCACCTCTCTTAAATTAACCCGGTGGCAGAAGGCGCTTAGCCTAGCTTAGCATAAAGTCTGGCTCTGTTCAAAGGTAAAGGAATCCTCTTCGCAGTCTGACAACCAACTGTGCGTTTTGTTGTCCAACGTAAAAGGTTTTTTTTTAGTGTGAGCTACCGTAGCTCTGCAGTAATGGGAGGTTATTAAAACAGGATCAACTGGTTTTGAATATGTTGTTGCTAAATGCTGCTAGCTGCTTTTTTTCCTTCAAATGTGTTTTTTTGATCTTTTAAGTGAAACTTTTATCCTGCCGTCCTCGCCAAGACTTAAATAAATCCCAATGGGAGTTTCTCCTCCATGGTTAGATAAAAAAAGACACGCTAGGTTCATGCTAAACTAAGCTAAGCCCGCCTGCTGCTGTCTGTAGTTTTGGATTTACTGTTCATGAGAACCACCAATCTTCTGTTCTAGTTCTCGGGCAAGAAAACAAACAAGCTGGTTTCCCCCCCCAAAAAAAATCTCAACCGTCCCCTTAAAGTCCAACATAACTGTGGTACAACCCAAGACTACAATGAAACCGTGTCTTTCAGAATGAGGCCGTGGAGACGCTGGACTGCGGTGCTGCTGGCGCTGCTGGCGCTGGAGGCTTCGGCGCAGAAGCTGCCCACCAGGGACGAGGGGCTCTTCCAGATGCAGATCAGAGACAAGTCGCTGTTCCACGACTCCTCCGTCGTCCCGGACGGAGCCGAGATCAGCGGCTACCTGTTCAGGGACACGCCCAAGAGGTGACCAAGCTAACGCCCGGCGCAAATGAGCCGACTCTGCCTTCCGACGGCCACTTCCTGTAAATAGATACGGAAACATCAGACGCGGCGCCGCAGCGTGATCTATTATGCAGATGCAGAAACTAAATAATAAACGAGAAAGTCGTGTTTCTGTAATTGAGTTTCTGCATACCGCGCACCGAGCGCTTCGCGCCTCGCCGTGTTCTGCATTAAAACGTTGAAAACGTGACGGCCCCCTTTTTGACGCCGTGTTATGTTCCCAGGTACTATTTTGTGGTGGAAGAAGACAACACACCCCTGTCTGTGACCGTGACACCCTGTGATGCTCCTCTGGAGTGGAAGCTCACGCTGCAGGAGCTGCCCGAGGAGGCCAGCGGAGAGGCATCAGGTATAATTGACATCAGGCCGCAGTGGAAAAGGGTTAATGACACGTTCTGTGGAAACATCACTATCCGCCCACACACACACACACACACACTTAACCTACGCAGTGATGTTAGGCTTTGTGTTTTGCTGGGTTTTAATTAAGTCAAAGTCGTGGTGTCTAGTCCGACCACTTATGATGTCTGACTCGACGCGACGTCTATAATTTCAGAGGAGCGTCAACGTACAGAAACAAAGACACGGCTTCCCTTCACTCAGACTCTGTCTTCCTCTTTTCAGTCTCTCTGCCTTTATCTTTCTTCTTTTCTCCCTCGCTTCAAAACTTTCTCCGTCTGCAGGGCGGCAGATTGCTCCAGATGACCGGGTGGGGGGGGGGGGGGGGATCATGTGTGTAAACACACCTGCGTTTGTGGCTCTTGTCACATCAAATCTTACAGGAACATATATTGTTACTCATTTGAAGACGTGTACCTCGCCTCAAGAGAAAATAATTTGACTCTGAGCAGAGGAACAACAACAAATGTGGACAAAGACTGGTGTCTCAACGCTGCATTCTCTGCAGTGACCACCAGGGGGCGGCTCCTCTGGTCCCATAGGAGTCTACCAGAGAACTACTTCTCTCTTGATTTATTCCCTCAGAAAACATTGTAAACATGAGTTTATGGTATTAGTCTATAGTTCCTGAAGTCTTCTTCAATACAGCATGTTTATTTAGTAAATTAATTAATTTAATGGTTAATTTAGAGTCAAATAGACCATCGAGCTTTTGGCCGTGGCTACGCATTGGTTGTCCACCCCGCCGTGATCTCCTGTCGCTTCTAGTTCCAAAAAATACCAAGATGGCAAAGTCCAAAAATGGCCAAATTTGAGGCCTCAAGGCGGTTGTCCACAAACCAACGAGTGACGTCACGGTCACATTTTACGTGGCGTCTATGAATGGGGACCCAATACACGTGGAGCCGTTGGTGGAGGTGTCGGTGAAGCAGTCTCTCTCTGCTGAATGTCTCCGGCGGGAGTAGATCTCTGAGCATTAATTTGGAGTACACCGCTGAGCACACTCTCTGGTAGATCAACATAACGTGATGCTCGGGCCGCCGCTCTCGCCTCGAAGCTACAAGGCGCCTCTTTGTAGCACAGCTTCCCCGGGTGAATGTTGCCCTGTGATCTTTCTGGGGATGTTTGGAGGGAAAACATGGCCGCCCCTGTAAGGGGGGGCTAATCGCCCGTGAGACGCTGCAGAGCTTCATCGTTACATATCAAACGTGCCATTGGCGCTTTTAGCAACTTCTCATGAAAGCTAAAGATTAAACAGAAGAGAACGTTGTAAAGGTCACGACTGCAGTTTTTCGTTTTTTGCTTTTCAGGAGAGCCTGAACCTCTAGACGAGCAGAAGCGGCAGATGACCGTGGACGAGGGGACGGAGCTCTTCACCTACAAGGGCAACGACGTGGAGGCGTACGTGGCCACCAGCACCCCCGCCGGCCTCTACCAGCTGGAGCTGCTGTCCACAGAGAAAGACAGCAACTTCAAGGTGTACGCCACCACCACGCCAGAGTCCGACCAGCCCTACCCGGAGCTGCCCTTCGACCCCCGCGTGGACGTGACCGCGCTGGGCCGCACCACCGTCACCCTGGCCTGGAAGCCCACGCCGACGGGCTTTCTGATGGGCCAGCCCGTCCAGTACTGCGTGGTGATCAACAAGGAGCACAACTTCAAGAGCATGTGTGCCGCTGAGGCCAAGATGAGCGCGGACGACGCCTTCATGTTGGCGCCGAAGCCCGGCAGAGACTTCAGCCCGTTCGACTTTGCCCACTTTGGCTTCGTGCCCTCCGACAACGTCTTCGGCAAGGAGCGCGGCCTCACGAGCAACAGGATCTCCCGGGCGCACGCGACCAAGCCCAAAGCGCTGGACCTTCAGAAGGTGTGCATCGGCAACAAAAACATCTTCACCGTGTCGGACCTGAAACCGGACACGCAGTACTACTTTGACGTGTTCGCCGTGAACTCCGCGACCAACACCAGCACGGCGTACGTGGGCACCTTCGCCCGCACCAAAGAGGAAGCCCGTCAGAAGACGGTGGAGCTGAAGGACGGCAGGGTGTCCGACGTCTTCATCAAGCGGAAGGGCAGCAAGTTCCTGCGCTTCGCCCCGGTGTCCTCGCACCAGCGGGTCACCCTGTCCGTCCACGCGTGCCTGGACGCCGTGCAGGTGCAGGTGCGGCGCGACGGCAAGCTGCTGCTCTCTCAGAACGTGGAGGGGGTGCGGCAGTTCCAGCTGCGCGGCAAGCCGAAGGGCAAGTACCTGATCCGTCTGCGGGGCAGCAGGAAGGGCGCCTCCACCCTGAAGGTGCTGGCCACCACCCGGCCCAGCAGCAAGCAGCCCTTCCCGTCGCTCCCGGAGGACACGCGCATCAAGGCCTTCGACAAGCTGCGCACCTGCTCCTCCGCCACCGTGGCCTGGCTGGGCACGCAGGACCGCAACAAATACTGCATCTACCGCAAGGAGGTGGCCGAGAGCTACGGCGAGGAGCAGCGGCGCCGGGAGCAGAACCAGTGCGCCGGGCCGGAGACCCGCAGGAAGTCGGAAAAGGTCCTGTGCAAGTACTTCCACAGCCCGAACCTGCAGAAAGCGGTGACCACGGAGACCATCGCGGGCCTGGAGGCGGGGAAGACCTACCTGCTGGACGTTTACGTGGTGGGACACAGTGGTCACTCGGTGAAGTACCAGAGCAAACTGGTGAAGACGAGGAAATATTGCTAAATGACTCTGCAAAGAAAAAAAATCTATTACAAATATATATATATATATATTAAATAAGTTTATTTAACTCTAAGTGATATTCTACTAAGGAGTGTATACAGACTGACTACTCACACGAGCGGAGGCGGCCTGTGGCGGTGACTGTTTGTAGAGAGAGATATCAAACTGTATATTTATGTTCACGTTTCATCGGGGGCCCCTGCGGGCGGCCTGTTTTTCCACCGGGGAGGCGGAGCTTGAGGGAAGGTCACCTCTCTTTGCCGCTGCACGACGCTCGGCTCTCGCCGGTCCCATCTGTGCGTTCTCCAACCGGCCGCCCCGCGTTGTATAGATCTCTCACTGCGTGTTCACTACGTGTTTTAGGAGGAATTTAAATTATTTTATACTTTTCAACTCTCTCGTTCTTTTTTCCGTGATTGTTTTTATCGACGACGATGATAACTGTAAAATTGGAAACTGTAAATTGCAGTTTTCCGATGAAGCCGTCGTAGTTTGGACATTCCCTTGTGTATCTCAGTGTTTGCTGTTCGTGTAAATGTCTTCTGTGCCGGAGGTCTGTGTTATTACCACTGTATCGCTGTGGGAGTGTGTGTGTGTGCGTGTGCGTGCGTGCGTGTGTGTGTCACATGTACAGTTGTCCTGCCAATATTCATGTACATAAACACTAAATATAGAACCAGTAATCTCTCTGTCACACTGGTGTCGTGTTCTTTCGCCGAGCAGTTAACGTCAGCGGTTTGTGGGCGCGGACGTCAACTTCAACGCCCCCCCCCAAAAACGAGAAAGGACGCACCGGAGGAATTATTGGCTGGAATTAACTTTGAAGGAACAGAACCGAACCGACGTCCATCGTCACGTGATGTGCGTTAATAAATCAGTGCATCCGCTCAGTTTCCTTCCTTTTATCTCACTGTCATGCTAGAACACAACATTAGAACATCTGTGTTTCCAAACATGAACACACTCTCTAAGAGACCACATAATAATTTCATTATATAAGTCGATCTAAATAACGCACAACCGTTCTCTTTAATAAGGTTACATCAGCAAACTGTCAGCGGGTATTGCTGAGGGAGGGATAACAGCATGTGGAGCTACTCGGTTGCTCGGGAGGGAAACGTGAGGTCGAACAGGAAGGAGCCGCTGGCAGGGCAGCGAAATATCGAAAACCCTTTAATGTAAAGAATGTGAATTCATCGGAAGAGCCAACATGTTTCAGCCGCTTTAGGTCTTCGTCTGGGCTTTTGGGGGCCACACCTGGGACCAGACAACCGATGGGAGGCAGGTAAAACAAATAAAAATGACTGAATTACAAGAGACGACATGGCAGAAAAAGACAAGTTAGGTGCCGACAAGTAGACGAAATAGAAAAGAAAAGGTGAGGTCTGAATCCACATTAATACGTGAACTCGTCCAGCGGATGAGGTCCGTCTGTGATGATGTCATCTTTGTGTTTCTGCTCAGTCTCAAGACACGTCGTTAAGTCACAAAAATGCAATCAGTCGCTCACAACGGGTCAAAGACAGCGACCATGGAAAGTCGGCTCGTTTTCTGTGGTGGAAACATCGATGAAGTGATCAATGAATTCCGCTTGCCGAGGTCATTCAGAGGACGAGACTTTGAGGTTCCGTTGTTGTCCTTTTGCTTCCTCAAAGACAAATACACAGAGACATTTTAAGCCCGACCATTTTGGTTTTCCTGAACGCAATTTTGTGACATAACGTGCCCCCCCCCCCGAAAAAAGAATGAATCTACTCAGAAAAATGGTGTCAAAAACAATTTCACTACTGTTAGACTGTTAAATACTGCTTTTATTCATTATATCTTTGCTTTGTCATATTTCTTTACTACTTGTTAGCCTGAACAGCGACTCAAATTTTAATTAACAAGAAGATACATTTATTATTATGTTATAGAAATTGGGTTTAAAGCAACAATAAGTATACATTATTCAAAATGGCTTTTGGGATCACTTTTGAAATTGACACCATTTTTATTCCAAATAATTAAAAAAACACGGATACTAAACAGGCCGCCATCTCTTCGCCGGCCCTCATTCGAAACCTTGCGGGAGCATCGGGTGTCGTCTGATGCTGCTCAACCATCAGATACGCAGAGGAAAGCCAGACGCACGCGGGCCAATCAGTGGAGGCGCTCTGCTGCACACGAAGTGTCCGTGTCTTCGTCCCCTGTGGATGACCTGTGGGAGGGTCTCATCCCGTCTGCTGCGTGGCCTCTTTGGAGAATGTCCTGTCTACTCGGCTCGGCCCAAAACGTCCGCGCACAGAGGAACCGCTGTGCCGGCGTCTCTGCCGGGCCGAGGTGTTTATCGTCTGCGCGGTGGCGAGCGCCCGGCTCTGGGGAACGTCGTACGTCATAATTCGATGTGTGGCGCCATCGTCGCCAAGTCTCTATGTTTCTCTAGCTTCCAACCGTTGCGATGAGCTAAGCTAATCGGCTGCTAGCGTTAGCATATTTATCGTGGAGATTTATTGTTACTTTGCAGGGAGAAAAAGAGGGTGTTTCACAAAATGTCAGAGTAAGAATTAACAACCATCCCACCGTTTTTTGAGTCCCAGACGCTGCATTGATGTTTGGACAAAGACGGTGAAGACGGAGGAGCGGAATCCGAACAGGCGACCCGGAGGGAGAGCTGCGTTAAACTCACTCTGGCGCCTCCATCTTAAGGGCTCGGGTCCAAACCCGGCCCGGCACGGCTCCAACAAAAGACCTCCTTCCAAACTCATCCAGACCACGAGCCCATTCCCGGGAAAGGGTCGGGGGGGAGGGGGTGACCGGCGGCCCGCGGGTGTTACCCGTCTCAGCAGAGCTCCACTAAGATGGATCAAGGAGTAAAGACATGGGCACAAATGAACACTTTGTACTTATTAGAACTCAAGAGGCCGTAACTGTTTCTCTTTCCAGTCTTTTTGCTAAGCTAAGCTAACCAACCGCAGTTTGTAGCCTTGAGGCCGACGTACAGATGGTCTCATCCGACTCGGAATAGGCTTATTTTCCCAAATGCAAAGGTTCCTCTTGAAAGGTTCAGATTCAGGTCTTATACTTTAACATACATTCATATTGGTGATTTTTCACATAGAAGTTTGCAGAAATGTTATATATGAAATACAGCGCTGCAATGAGAAGAAGCAGCAGCCGCTGGTTGGTAACCAGGCGTTGAGCCGGGGGCGTAAACTAAGCTGCCGCCAGACTGCGTCGGTGTGTCTGCGTGCTCGGTGCCGCGGCGGCCTCTGAACAAGGGGGGCACAGGGGTGGTCCCGCAGCCCTCTTGGGCTCGTGAAATCACTTCAAAGTGGCTGTAATTTCTCACGCTTCATCCGCACTGTAATTTAAAAAAAAAAAAGAGGCTTCCTCCGAGGACCCCCACTTCTGCGGCGACCCGGGGGTCGCCAAGCGAAAACATTCGTTCATCCAGTGACCTCGGAGCTCCAGGAAAACGGTTTGCTGGCTGTTCCGCGACGGGCCTGGAAACAGGGAGCTGCGGTGAGAGACCGCTGGGGGGGGGTTTGTGAAGCATGAAACAAAAGGTGGTCTGGCCCCTCAAAACTACGGTATCAGGTTTGAGAGATTTCAGAAAAATGCACAAATCCATTTGGAAAAATCTCGTATGGAACCATTTGTACGTTTGCCAAACTGAGGTTTTCCTCCAGTGAAAATATTTACTTTAAAAAAAGGGGGGAAAAAGACTGAGAGTATTTATTTCAAGGCAATCCTTCCCTGCACCATGTCCTGAATGTGGTTTCTGTAGCTTTTGGCCCTGAGAGACCCGACTGGCAGTCCGCGGCCGGCTACTTTCAGGTTCAGAGTCCTGCAGGATTTATGATCAAAATGTCTTTGTTTAGTTAAAAAAGAAACCTTTATCGCCAGAGATTTTTAAGCTTTCAATGCATCGTTGTCTCCCGTCGGCGGTTTGCCCCTGAGCGCAGTCTTTGTCATCACTTCGTGAGGCCGCTCACGGAAAGCTTCTTTCACTTCTACGCGGCGGCATTAGTCAGACATGGTGACAGACGTCGGGGAACAAAGCCGTCGCGATATGTGCGCCCGACGCATTCCGTAGACAGACGTTACCCCGCGAAACAGCTGCTGATGACTTTGGTGATTTTAAGACTTTTCCTTCTAAATGTGCTCCGATTCCAAAAGAGATTCCGTCCATATGTGTTTGCGTGTTCCCCCGTAGGGAACAGACCATAAATTAGTTTGCGGTGTGTCTTTCTGAATGGGAATGTGCGTCTGTCAGCCTTTAGTCCAGACTGAAATGTCCCAACAGCTATTGGATGGATTGCCATGACATTTTGTACAGACATCCACGTTCCCCAGAGGATAAATCCATTTGCCTTTGAATGTTTTTCTTTTTGACGGGATGCTCACAAAATCACATGGAATTGGGTGCAGACATGTAGACATTCATGTTCCCCAGAGGATGGCTTTGCGTGAGTTTTCATCTAGCGCCATCATCAGGTCAATCTTTCACGGTTGGATTACATCCAAATACCATAAACTGTACATAAGAGTCCCTGTGACATCACCCAGTGGCGTGTCGACCGACGGGTCAAAGCCCTGAATTTGGCCATTCTGCAACGAGAAGTGACACAAGGGGGTGGAGCTAATTGAAAACACACAACAACAAGGACGACTCCCAGAGCCGATTCAATCTGTCAATTAATGGGTTGCCCCGCTGTAAAGCAGCCCCTGCGTCATGGTCTGTTTGACTCTACAAGGCCCATCATTTACTGAATGAGCATCATGCTGTATCGAAGAAGACTTGAAAGGGATCGAGACCATAAACTCATGTTTACTTCCAATGCTCCAATCAAGATGATCTGCGCAGTTCATCACAGATATAAACGTGTTTGGATCTTCATCTGTGTGTGTATTTCTGTGCAGGTGATGGGGATCAGTGCCGATGGGGATCAGAGCCGATGGGGATCAGAGCCGTTGGGGATCAGAACCGATGGGGATCAGTGCCGTTGGGGATCAGAACCGATGGGAATCAGAGCCGATGGGGATCAGAACCGATGGGGATCAGAACCGTTGGGAATCAGAGCCGATGGGGATCAGAGCCGATGGGGATCAGAGCCGATGGGAATCAGTGCCGTTGGGGATCAGAGCCGTTGGGGATCAGAACCGATGGGGATCAGAACCGTTGGGGATCAGAGCCGATGGGAATCAGTGCCGTTGGGGATCAGAGCCGTTGGGGATCAGAACCGATGGGGATCAGAACCGTTGGGGATCAGAGCCGATGGGAATCAGTGCCGTTGGGGATCAGAGCCGTTGGGGATCAGAGCCGATGGGGATCAGAACCGTTGGGGATCAGAGCCGATGGGGATCAGTGCCGTTGGGGATCAGAACCGATGGGGATCAGAACCGTTGGGAATCAGTGCCGTTGGGGATCAGAGCCTTTGGGGATCAGAGCCGATGGGGATCAGAACCAATGGGGACACCTCTAGGATCTGAGTGAAAGCTGAGTGAAAGTTAATGGGACGGAGGGTCCTCAGAGGGCACGGAGGGAGAAAAAGGGGTCGTGACATTTAATCGTCCCGCCCCGACAGGCCAAGGCACTGACAGCAAGGTCAAAGAGGTGGGGGGGTCAGAAACGGACCGAGGAGCCCATGGGGGTGGGGGGGGGGGGGGGCACACAAAGAGCCCCTCAGTGCACTGATCAGACTTGTCACCCAATAAGTCTCCCTGTGACTCCCTCTTACGGCTTGACTCTCTGAAATACACCTGGAACACGACCCCGGGGCCGCTGATGACACCAGCGGCAATACAATAGAACCCCCGGGAGGGGGGTGGGGGGGTCCATCTGGAAGGACAGGCTCCCCCCTAATTTTGAAGCCTACAGGCCTTGGACAGCAGAGGGGGGAGTCTTTAAAAAGCCCCTTGAAGGCAGCAGCTCATTGACTCTGAGGTAAACATGCAGGTCGTGATTCAGTCGGGAGTCTGACCCTCGCCGGTCGCCCGGACCAATCACGGAGCAGTTTGGCGCAGAGTCGCAACAACAGGAAGCAGTCGGCATAAACACGAGCTATAAACACAGTAAACAGAAAAGGCGACACAACGCTGCGCCGCGCCGCTGATTAAAGGGCGAAGACGTTTGCCAAAGAGGCGTTGAGAGGGAGAACGTACACAAACAGTCAGCGATGGAAATCCCAAAGAGAGTCAACAAATCAGACTGAGGCCAGGTCTAAAAATAGGCGTAATGAAGATGGTGTGAGGTCTGCGTGATAGTTTCATTCATCTATGAGTTGTGTGTTTGTTAGCAAACCACATCCACTGCTGAGCATTTGGAGGAAGTGGTTTGTCTGCAAAGAAAAAAGAAGGAAAAAAAAGGGTCATCTGGCTTCACTTTGTGTACTTTTATTTTGAAAATTCAAGTTTTCCCTCTGAAGGGGAGACATGACAGGAAACGCTGTTTTTCGTGGTTTGGTCAAGAGATTTTCTTTTGAGACCAGCAGACAAATAATATTATTATCTGTAAAATTCTCAAAAATTCACCAAAAGTTACCATTAGATAATCAAAAACAAACATTTCAGCAAACTTGTAATGCAAAAAACAGCCTTAATGTCAGTAATCATCTATTAACATTTTTATTTATATTCACCTTTAGCGTTGTTCTATTGTATTTATAACTTTTTTTTGTTTACCCACTTGTAAAAGAGACCTTGATCTCAATGCAATGTTGATTTATTGCCGAAAAAGAGACAAAACACATCATAAAGTAACAGATGAATTTGATTGATCTCTTTCTGTTAATCAATGTTTCTAAAGATAACACAGTAATGGTACAGTGAGTTATTTAGGACATTGTAATCACGTATGGAAAACCTGACATTGTGGCGTGTATCTTTTTTGAAGTTATCTTTCTTCTATTGCTTTCTTGTCATTGTTGTGTCTTTACTTAAAAAAAAAAAACTTTTGGTGCTATTGTTGAATTTTCCCAAATCATGCTTTCTTCCTTTTTTGTCATTTTTTTGATGAAGCTCAAATAATCCCTTTGAAAAGGCTTTGTGACAACATTTTAATTTTTCTAACTGGATTTTATGCCGCCTTATAAGTGTCCACGTAAATAATACAATTCAAAATATAATATCAGAATGTTCTGCTGGCAGGGTGATTGATGCGTGACATTAAACACAGAGCAATGAGACTGATTCAGAATAATTACAATTATTAGTCAAAGATCTATCGCCACCCAGCAAATGGCCATTGGCGTTAATTCATCCTTTATAGTAGTATACTTGACCTCCTTCGTGGTATTACTGCAGTAGTACTACAGTCTGCAGCAGACCGGATGAGCCCAGTCAAGGTAGCTTCTGGTTACAAACTTTGGACCAATCAGAGCGCCGCTTTGCCTTCCTGCCGCAGGAGCAGCAGAAGTTCAACCTGGAGCCGCTTCTCGAGGAGGGGTGGGGGGGGGGACACGGGAGAGACACCAACCGGCCCTTAAATCCAAACCGTTCATGCTGACTGTGTCCCGCCGACGCGCCAAATGTCCTCGCGGGAAACGTCTCCCCGGTGATGACGATGTTGGGTATGTACGTGCCGGACCGCTTCTCCCTGAAGGCGTCACAGGTCCAGGATGGAATCGGTCTCTACACGGCGAGGCGCGTGAAAAAGGTTCGTTCTTTATGCGAGTTAAGTTACGCTTCTTCGTGTCAAAGAAAAGAAAAGTGTTGTCCGAGTTCCGTCCGTCCCGCTTCCCCCGTGTGGGAGCCTCGGACCCCGGGGCGGCTGTGACGCGACGTGCCACGTAGCCGCTCCGGTTGTTTCTCCCCCCCCTCGCGCTCACCACGTTACAAAGTTACAAAGTAGCCATGTCGGCCCGAGGAGAGCGGCTACAAAGTGGCGGAAACGACCGGAAACTACACACAGACGTTACCAGCGAGCTTTGTTTATTGGTGTCTTTCATAAAGTTGCAGACGTGTCCCCCCCCCCCCCCTCGCCCCCCTCGCCCCCCCTCCCGCTGTCAGACACGCAGAGGGGGCGTGTGACGTGGTGTCAGCGGGGAAGTGCCCATGTAGGATGGCTAGTTAGGAAGCGAGTGGAGGAGATTAGGTGGTAACAGACGCTGGCTGAGGATGGGACGTGAAGGCAACATGAAGTGCCACGCCCCCCTCCCCCCCCCCCCTCCCCGGATGTGTTTGCTATTAAAAAAGTATAAGTGTATACAGGAGTGAGGAGAGGAGGATGTACTCACATGGTGCTTCAGATGTCAGATCTGGTGGTAAAACTACACTCTAGATACATTTGACTGTGAGTAAGTTACTTTAACTTCGTTACAGTCAGTTGTAGAAAAAGTATTATATTATAAACCATTTTGGCATCTTACTGTGAGTACTTTGCAGTCATAATACTGCAATTAACTGTGGTTTTACAGTATGTTTGTGTAAAATAACTGATATAAATGTAGGCTGTCAGATTATTGCAATGAAATGTGATTTTACAAAAATAATTACAGTTTTACAATATAATAATCCCACGAAGACTTATAAAGCTCAATTTTTTTTCTGTGGGTAAGATATTATAAATAAAAGTCCTACATTCAAAACTTTATTCAAGTACTAAAATATAAATATAAACTTTTTAAAAAAATTTAAAATTCAGGTTTCCATCAGTTCTATTTTTGTCCATCAGTATTATATGTTGTATCATAATCATAAATAAGTAATGATGTTGTCAAATAAATAAACGTAGTGGAGAAGAAGCAGCAATTTGCAGAAAATATAAATATCCAGTAATGATGGCGTACCGGAGTAGAATGGTAATTAAAGGAGATGCAGTGACCCAGAGATCTGGAGAGAATTCCGTCTTCACAAAAGTCTTTTTTTGCTTTTTTGTACCGTAATGTTTGCCGATGTCCCTCCATCTGGTCCCAAGGGAGAGAAGTTCGGCCCGTTCGCGGGGGAGAAGAGGCTTCCTGCGGAGCTGGAGGAGAGCTCGGACACCCGGCTCATGTGGGAGGTGAACCAATCTTTCCTTTACCACATTTCACCACATCTGGGGGGGGGGTTGGGGGGGTGAGGAGAGGCGCTGTGATGTGGTTATCTGCGGCAGGCCACATTAGCAGGGGACCAGCTTGTGCACCCGATTAGGTGTTTCGTGTGTGCGGCCGGCGCGCGTTGAAGGAGAAGAAGACGACCTGTGATGGTTTTGTTTGTGTTTTCTCCCTGCAGGTCCGCGGCACCAAAGGAGATGTTCTGTATATTCTGGACGCCAGTAACCCGCGGCACGCCAACTGGCTGCGGTTTGTCCACCAGGCGCCTTCACAGGAGCACAAGAACCTGGCGGCCATACAGGTAGGTCTCCTCGTTAAAACGCGAGGACGGCGAGGAGACGCGTCCTCTTCCACTGGGTACAAGTTTGAAGTGACGACAAGGCTGCTTTCGTATTACAGTTTTCTGGGTTCAAAATGACAGAGAGAAAAGAAAATGTAATGAAATAAACACCTGAATGTGAACTTTAGTTCTGTAAAACCTTCTTAGCGTCATTTCCTTCCAGTAGCGAAGGTCACAGATCTGAACTTCTTTGTTCCTTCGTTCCGTCCCGATGATCGGGGGGGAGGGGGGGGGGGCTCAACGGGATCGGGGATAATTTCTCCTCTGGTCTCTTGTTCAAAAGATAAAACAGATTGCTCTTGAAAATAGGGGGGGGGGGGAACAAGTTCCTGCCATTAATACCCCGATGCCCGAAGTGATGGGTCGCTCAAAGGTCATCGTGTGCGTCGAGGCTCTGCCTTCCATCAGCACTGACATTTATTGTGCGGCTTTCCTCTTCCTAATCGTTATTTATGTGCATTTACAATCCCGCGGTTAAAACAAAATGACTTGTTTGATTTTATTAGCGTGACCTTTACGGACGACGACGTCAACGGCAACATTTTTAAGGGGTTTGAGCTTTTGACCCGTCTGAACAATCGCTGTCTGGGTGCAATGATCTCGATCATAGCAGATCTATCCAGTTACACATATATATATATATATATATATATATGTATATGTGCATTTCTGATCTCTGATGATGTCACAATGTGAACAACCGATCAGTGTTTAGATCTACAGGAACGTTAGCAGCGCCGCTAACCGCTAACCAACAGAGGCCCAGTTCAGTTACTTATGAAAATTAGTTCATTTTAACGTTTTTCCGTCACATGTAGAATGAAGTGTTGATGAGAAACTTGAATAAATCCTGTTGTTTGAGGAAGATGTTTCCACATATAAAATGATATTAGAAATGAATCATGAGCGGTTCAACTTCTGAACATTAGCAACATTATAATAAATGACTAAAACTACCTATAACACAATTCCTATCATGTTTTATGAAGAAAAACCCCATGAATGACTAAAACAATGTAAAAGCATTTTCAACATTTAGAATTTGTGAATGTTCACTGACTTCAGAGCAGTTTTTTTGCTGAATTCACCCAAGATGCTCGTTGGGAATATTCCTGATTTTTTGACACCATTATTGATTCTGCATATTGGTCCAAACCTCCATCGGTTCCTTTATAATAACTGTGTTGCACAAATCTCGGTGGAAAACGTCTCTCAGCCGGAACTGGTTCTCACGTCCCTGCTCGAGGACCAGTGGTCCGGTTCCACTTCTGACAGTAACAGAAATATGTAAGCATCACAAACGCCACGATGATGTCATCATACGCATTTAGATGTTCACGCTTTCACCTTTCTTGTCTTCCTGTGTTGAACAAGAATTTGTTCTCGGCCGCATTGTCGTCCCTCAGGACGGAGAGAACATCTTCTACCTGGCCGTGGACGACATCGAGACGGACACGGAGCTCCTGATAGGCTACCTGGACAGCGATATGGAGGAAGAGGAGGAGGAGGAAGAGGAGAAGGTCATCCGAGATGAAGACGAAAACAGCAAAGAAGCTAAGCATCTTGTGGAAATGGGTACAGTGGAATCACGAGACACAAATAACGGATTCGTCATTTTAAAAAGCCTCCCTACTCATCGCTTGTGTGTGTGTGTGTGTGTGTGTGTGTGTGGAACATCTCTGCAGAACTGGTCATAAAGAAGGAGGACCACCCCTGCTTGCTGTGCGAGAGCAGCTTCCCCAGCGAGGAGATCCTGGCTGCCCACCTCCAGAGTCTGCACCAGAGGCCCAGCACGGAGGAGAAGGACTTCAAATGCAAGACCTGCGGCAAGAAGTTCCCCGTGAAGCAGGCTCTGCAGCGCCAGTGGGTTCTGCCCTCCACTCGTTGTCATGTAGCTTTTCCTCACCGCAAAATGTCGCCAACAAGTCTCCAAAAAGTATTCAATCCATTTGGAATAGATTTATATTTTAGATAATATGTAAAGGTAAAGAAATTCAGGTTTTAAGGGTTTCACTTCTTTGCTTCTCAAATCATGCTAACCTAAACTAGCCGTATGTAGAGATTACAGCTAGCTCTTCCCTCTGTTTACAGTCATTATGCTAAAATAAACTATCTTTCCGTAGGGATTACAGCTAGCTCTTCCCTCTGTTTACAGTCATTATGCTAAAATAAACTATCTTTCCGTAGGGATTACAGCTAGCTCTTCCCTCTGTTTACAGTCATTATGCTAAAATAAACTATCTTTCCGTAGGGATTACAGCTAGCTCTTCCCTCTGTTTACAGTCATTATGCTAAAATAAACTATCTTTCCGTAGGGATTACAGCTAGCTCTTCCCTCTGTTTACAGTCATTATGCTAAAATAAACTAGCTTTTTGTAGGGATTACAGCTAGCTCTTCCCTCTGTTTACAGTCATTATGCTAAAATAAACTATCTTTCCGTAGGGATTACAGCCAGCCCTTCCCTCTGTTTACAGGCATTATGCTAAAATAAACTAGCTTTCTGTGGGGATTACAGCTAGCTCTTCCCTCTGTTTACAGTCATTATGCTAAAATAAACTATCTTTCCGTAGGGATTACAGCCAGCTCTTCCCTCTGTTTACAGGCATTATGCTAAAATAAACTAGCTTTCTGTAGGGATTACAGCTAGCTCTTCCCTCTGTTTACAGTCATTATGCTAAACTAAACTATCTTTCCGTAGAGATTACAGCTAGCTCTTCCATCTGTTTACAGCCATTATGCTAACCTAAACTAGTTTTCCGTAGGGATTACAGCTAGCTCTTCCCTCTGTTTACAGTCATTATGCTAAACTAAACTAGCCTTCCGTAGGGATTACAGCTAGCTCTTCCATCTGTTTACAGCCATTATGCTAAACTAAACTATCTTTCCGTAGGGATTACAGCTAGCTCTTCCATCTGTTTACAGCCATTATGCTAAACTAAACTATCTTTCCGTAGGGATTACAGCTAGCTCTTCCATCTGTTTACAGCCATTATGCTAACCTAAACTAGTTTTCCGTAGGGATTACAGCTAGCTCTTCCCTCTGTTTACAGTCATTATGCTAAACTAAACTAGCCTTCCGTAGGGATTACAGCTAGCTCTTCCCTCTGTTTACAGCCATTATGCTAACCTAAACTAGTTTTCCGTAGGGATTACAGCTAGCTCTTCCCTCTGTTTACAGTCATTATGCTAAAATAAACTATCTTTCCGTAGGGATTACAGCCAGCCCTTCCCTCTGTTTACAGGCATTATGCTAAAATAAACTAGCTTTCTGTGGGGATTACAGCTAGCTCTTCCCTCTGTTTACAGTCATTATGCTAAACTAAACTAGCTTTCCGTAGGGATTACAGCTAGCTCTTCCCACTGTTTAGAGTCATTATGCTAAGCTAAACTATCTTTCCGTAGGGATTACAGCCAGCTCTTCCCTCTGTTTACTGGCTATACTTATGCTTTGCCCCCTCAGTGTTCTGCATTGTACTGAATCTCTGGACCCATCCGGCGACTCTAAAGCCCACCAGTGCTCCATCTGCCACAACACCTTCGGCTCCATATCCAGGTAGCAAAGTGCTTTCATTACCTGTAGACAGAAAACCATGTGCACACACCGGGTAACGCTGTCTCTTCTTCTTCTTCCTCTCCCCCTGTGTGTGTGCGTGCGTGTGTGTGTGCGTGTGTGTGTGTGCAGCTTTGAACAGCACAAGGAAGCCTGCAGAGGAGACGCCCGCTTCATCTGCAAAGCAGAGAGCTGCGGCAAAAGATTCAAGAGCAAAGACGCTCTGAAGAAGCACAAAGGAAACGTTCACACGGGTCGGTGTCTCCTCTCCTGTCCCCCCCCCCCCCCCCCACACAGACACACACACACACACACACACACATAAACACATTTATTTTTTATTCCTTCATCTAATTGCCGATCAGCGGTGGTGTTTGACCTCAATCAGTTTGAACCTCCACCACGTTCAGCCGCGCCTCTAATTACTCGCGCTATGTAATGGCCGACCTGTGCGTTCCGGGCCCCCCCCTCTCCCCCTCCCCCTCCCCCTTCAGATGATTGGACCTGCTTTAGCTATTTATGACGGGATGTAGGGCAGCGCCGCCTCACACCAGAATCCAGTATCAACGAGCGTGAGACGTTCATCTCAGGCCCTTCATGTTCTACCAATGTGGTCTGGGCGTGTGTGTGCCTGTGTGTGTGCGTCTGGGCGTGTGTGTGTGTGTGTGTGTGCGTCTGGGCGTGTGTGTGTGTGTGTGTGTGTGGGGGGAGGAAGTGGATCAGACTTGTCAGATGTGGGTCACGCGATTCAGTTTCAGATAAGTGGACCAGAACGGTGGGATGATGAGAAGACTCGAGTGTCCAGTGAAAACTTTTTGTGACTCTTTATGGGCGGCGGTTATTTTAATGTTTTATGGTCATCTTTCAGCACTTAGTAATTATACTTAAAGCACTTATAAATAGTCATAGTAATGCTTCTTGTAAGAATTAAATAATAATCACTGTTTTAATGTAATTCTATTTTACTCTCAGGTTTGCGTTAAAGTGGGAAAAATACTACCGTACAATTGATGTACTTTGTACTTGCTTGTACAAGTAGAAGTAATAATACTGAGCTCACGGGACGTGAGCGTGTTCTCAGGATTTCCCACTTTTATTATAGTTCTGCTCATTTTGTGTTTCTCGCCTCTTTCCCCTCGCAGGGAGCGCGCGGCGGAAACTCACGTGCACCATATGCAACAGGAAATGTTCCTCCTCGCTGAACCTGCAGGAGCACCGCAAGGTGAGCCTCGCGTCGACGCGGCGGCCCGACGCCAGTTGTTGCAATGCATTCTGGGTGCCTTCACCTCGTCCCACGAGGTCAGGGCAAACTCGAGAGCCAGATGAGGAGGCGTCAGTGGAGTGAATGTTATGGCTTGATGTAACGTTCCCTGTTCATCATGCAGCTCCCGCTTATTATTTATCCCAGTGACACTTTTAATGAAGCCGAGTCCCGAGCGCCGTCATAAATCCGACACATATTGTGTTGCCGCAGCGACTCGCCGGCTGCGAAGCGGCTTAAATCTGCCGTCATCGTCAACCAGCCGCATTAGCATTACGCTATGTAGCCGTTGCAAGGGT